GGAAAAAACGCTGAGGAAATATAATGTTTGGTTTGCCAGCGAGCGAGAACTGATTTGAGAATAATTGCACATGCGCGTTAATTGAATGAACTATGACCTGTACAATCTCGATTTGCATATTGTCAAAGGTCCTGTTATTTGGTTACTCATGCAAATTAGGCAATTGTACAATAACATTGCCACGTGTGAGTGTTTTTTATTTTTAACCAGAAAATAAACAGCAATTTTAACGGTGTTCCAATAAGAATTCATTGGTCAAATTTTCACAGAATGTTCTTTAGATAAAAATCTATATAAAAAACGAAAAAAACTATTTTTGATTGAAATTCACAAATAAACTGCATCTCTACCTTAATGCTGTTCCAGAGCAATATCTCTCAATCATCATAATCATGTTCCTGACATGTTTGTGTTCCAGCTATATTACTATAAACAAAACTATATATCTTAAATTCAATAACTAACAGGGACTGTGCCATGCATGGTTAGTATAAAGAAAATTGTACTCAAAAATAGGTACTGTAGAATACTTCATTTTCGCTGAAGGGATGATTCCATGAAAATAAAATCCAGCGAATATACTTTATTTTCCTATATTTCACATTAAACTCATCAAAAATCTGTGAAACCAAATTCTACACAAAACGCCCCAAAAGCCTTTTCAGCAAAAATTAATTCCAGCAAAAATAAAGTATTCCACAGTCTTCTGTATTTGACAAAGAGTTCATTCGACAAATGAAAACTCACAGGAATTTGTTTCAACTACTAGAACAGAATGATAGAGCTTTTATAATAATTTAAAATGCACTTTAGAAACAAAGATTGCAGTGTTTGAAAATGTAGATTCTCAGGAGGCAACAGTACTGTTGACTTCTCCCTCCACTGGAAACCAACTAACTATTTAAGTTGATTTGCATTACAAAGCAGAGCTTGCAACATGATAGCTATTCATAGAGGGCGTTTTTTTTTTTTAATTTTCAAATAATACAGTAGTCACACAATGAATATAATAAGGCAGTTCATATTTGTCTCAGTGAATCATTAAGTTTTGACATACACCTGTACAAAATACTTGGACAAAAGCCAGGTAAGATTTTCTGTTATCTTGCATGTTCTATGAATCTACTCATGTCTAAATGCAGCACTTTTTTTTTGCGATGAGGCATTTGTTTTTATACTAAAATATCTGAATTACTTTGAATAAAGCTGGAAATTATGCCCTTAAAATAAATTAGGCACCAATGTTTTTGTAAGATATTTACATCTATCAAGGACATTCGGTAGACTGCTTTCCAACTGTTGTTTCAACCCCAAAATTTGTTTGAATTCAAAATTAATTATGGCAATGCATATTCATATTGAAACAAACTATGATAATATTATATAACAAAGGGTAAGGTCACCAGAATTCAATGGGCGACTTCAGATAGTGAAGTCTTGGTGTGGCTTTAATTAGGGCATTTTCAGAAAACAAAGGCCTGAAGGGATAATGATATGCTAATTTTCACACACTGACATACTTTTACACAAACGAAAATACACACTGCACAACATAATGCACAATAAATAATATCTACAAATAGATTTGTGGGCATTTTCAGATTACGATACCGCATAATTTCTTGAATAGACGTCACTCCAATTTGTTAGTACCGGTGCCTTCTATCTTCTATAGACATCAGGGAAGAGTTCAAAGTCTTAATTTCGAAATAGTATGTCACAAAATATTGAAAAATTACAGTCAATAAAAAAAACTGTTGTTAACATGATAACAAAAATATACTCAGTATATTTAATGTTGTATGCATTTATTTTCTTAATTTTGTTGAACAAACATTATTGAACCCTGGAACTCAATGGTATATTTTAAAACTACTTGTATTTAAGAAATAGATAAATGAAAAATTTGTACGCAACTTGTGAATTTGTGCTCTTCTGATATAAATTTGCTGGTTCCCAAGGCAATAATAAATAAAAACATTTACTCTTATTATAAGTACATTTTCCATATAAGCACCTACACTATATACACCAAAATTGCATTTATTGTATAATGTATCGTATACAACGCCACTCTGTTGTTTACACACATGTAAATGTGTACACTATTAAAGGCCAATATATTTGTTACAATAAAATGATAGAAATATATTCTAAGGCATGTCAGTCCCACAAAAAGAGAAATGCTATATAAGGGAAGAGTAGGAAATCAAACGGGCGGTTCACCGCGGTAATCACCGCGGTACACCGGGGAGAGCCGCGGACTGCTTATAATTAGGGGTCTCTACCGCAGTGGCCACCGATACCGGTTGCAACCGCGGTCGTAGGAAAGGTGTGAAATACGTACTTAACAGTTTCCTTTGTAATTCCATGAGTCTTTGTTTCAAATAGCTGTTTTTAAATCAAGCAGGTTACGAGCATCGCTGGCATGGAAATACTAAGCATATAGTAATATTATCGGCCCACGTATTTTATTAAATAAATATAAAAATCCATAAGTCCAATGCTGTATACGAATTGTTGTTGCGTGAAACAATGTTGTATTTTATGCATGTATTTATCACCAATTCCAAGAGTAAAAGTTGTAACTTTCGAAGGTACTAGTATTATGACTCGTCCATACATTTCACTTACGTTTGTTACACTTGAATAAAGTCTACCACATGAAAAGAATGTTATTTACGAAGTTAATCCGAGCCTTCCTGATTCGAGCCTCTTGTTGATTTGACAACGGTGGGTATCATTAATGTTTATTCTTTGCCTATATCGCATTCCAGACAAAAAGTTCAAGATCGGTAAACAAGAAATGGACGAACTAAAATGTCTCCTGTGTTTCATGTGCGACATGATTATTAAAAAAAACAGAGTTAAGCAGTCATGTACGTTCTGTAAATCTAACCTTGCACACATAATCTTGTATTGACATGTTTTTTTTTTTTTTGGTCAAAAACGACGTTGCCTTTCTGTTAACTCTTCGCGAGAGTTTACCGATTTTTTGAACAAATGTTAAGTAACTATATCGTTTTGCGTCAAACTGGGTGGCCCGAATTTAAATGTCAGTGCGTGAACTCATTGAGGTCATTGCCCATTGCTGCACGTAATTCAAACACGTGGTTATTAGAGTTCAGTCGAAATGAACGTGAATAATGCGATCGAAGTGCGCTGCGAGTTTAT